ACTGTATCATTACTGCTTCTGTCGCTAAAACTGATGTTTGGAGAAGGTGTCCTTGCTGTACATACAGATGTGCCGTTGCTCCTGTGTGTACATATACATGTGCTATTTCTTCTATGTGTACACATCGACTTGCCATTGCTCATGTCTGTACATATAGATGTACAAAAGCTCCTGTTTGTACATATAGATGTACCATTGTCCTGTGTGTACATACAAATGTGCCATTGCACCTTTGTGTATACATATACATGCCATTGCTCCTCTATGTACATATAGATGTGCCAATGCTCCAGTGTTTAGATATAAATGTGCCATTTATCCTGTGTGTACAAATAGAGTTACCATTGCTCCTGTGTGTACATATAGATGTGTCATTCATTACTTCTGTGTATACTCATAGATGTGCCATTTATCCTGTGTGTACATATAGATGTGTCATTCATTACTCCTGTGTGTACTCATAGATGTGCCATTGCACCTTTGTGTACACATATACATGCCATTGCTCCTCTATGTACATATAGATGTGCCAATGCTCCTGTGTGTAGATATAAATGTGCCATTTATCCTGTATGTACAAATAGAGTTACCATTGCTCCTGTGTGTACATATAGATGTGCCATTCATTACTTCTGTGTGTACTCATAGATGTGCCATTGCTCCTGTGTGTACATATAGATGTGCCATTGCTCCTGTGTGTACTCATAGATGTGCCATTGCTCCTGTGTGTACATATAGATGTGTCATTCATTACTTCTGTGTATACTCATAGATGTGCCATTTATCCTGTGTGTACATATAGATGTGCCATTGCTCCTGTGTGTACATATAGATGTGCCATTGCTCCTGTCTGTACAGAGTCAATATTATTTTGCTGCCCCTGCAGTCTCAAACAGTGAACTAGATTCCCATGTGGCTTGAGGGACTCCTGTGTGTGGAAAGCAAGAATAGACTCACTGCCCGCTGAACAAGCATGCCGTTGGAGTTGACTCATTGGAGACATCTTTCGAAGTTGGAGTAATTCTGCCTAGGAGGCAAGGCACTAAGTGTCTGCATACAGTTGAGCCAGATCGAAGAAAATGATGTGCACGCAACACTCAAGTTCTGGAACAAGGCTAAAGTTTGGAGGCGGACGAACACCAACCGGAGTTTACTACAACTGGTGAAGACAAAGAAGAAGTAGTTTTGTCTATCTGCATGTACTGTAATGTCTCCTTTGTCTTTATGAGCATCAGTTAGTAGTTGTGATTTGTTGTTATATATGTTAGTATGAGGTATAGATGTAAATTATCTTAATTGCTGTGTGTGTGTGTGTGTGTGTGTCCTTTGTGTATTTAATTTTTTCTTCTTCAATTCCCAGTTCTTTAGATGCTTTGATTCTTCACTAACACAATATAATTATAAAAATACGGATGAAAGATAAGATTTCACATAGGTGGAAAAAAAAAAGCAGAGCCAAAGATGACAAAAAAATGAATAAAAATAATGAAAAGCTGAAATGATTTTGAAATAAAAAGAGAGAAAAAGAACAGAAAAGAGGATGGGGGAAAAAAGGGGGGGGGGGCGGTGGGGGGTTCAGCCGATCAATTTCAGGTAAAAACTTGGTGCAATAAATTTGATCTTCTTGACTTCAAACCCATTGTTAAACAGTAAAGTGTAAAATCTGGTAGATCAATAACAAAACGTATTTACTTTTGCCATTGAGTGAAGACCTGAACTAATATCTTGAATAACCATTGTATCAACCATCTGGGCGAGTAACAGGTGGCAAATGTCCATGGCTGTGTGATGTAATGCAGTGCCTTATTCATTACTGGCAACTAGTTCGTTGATTTTCCTAATTCTTTTCAATCCAGAAACATAACACGAATCAGTCAGTGAATGTAAATCAAGTACAAGAGTTTCCTCACTAAACCAATAAAGAAAAAAAAAAGAGTCGGCAAAGACTAAGAAAAAAAAAAAGCAAAGAGGAAGGCAGGCGTAAATGTAGAAGGCAAAGAAGGAGGAGGCAAAGAATAAGAAATAGAAGCAGAAAAAGAATAAGCAGAAGGAGGAAGAAGATGTAGAAAGATGAGAGGGAAATGAAGAAGGAGAAGAGGTAAAAGAGAAGGAGGATAATAAGGCGCCACCTGAATAGTTAAAATTGACCTATAGTAGATACTGCCATAGGAATGTGAAATCTTAGGCCTTGACTTACAGGAGACAGTGAAAACTTGCCTGACAGCTTACTTTTCCCTGACATGTAACTGAACCTAAGTAAACTCAGGGGCTGCATATGTTCGAGCTGCCGCTTATGGAAATTGAACCCGGACCTTTCTGTATGGGTTCCTAGGCTCTGTTTTGGTGGGAGAAAGAGAATAACGAACCAACCAACAAACAGATGAACAAACCATTATTTGTCATGGGTCACAAATTTGCAGAAGAGGAAGAAGAAGAGGAAGAAGAAGAAGAAGAAGAAGAAGAAGAACACAGACCTCTGTCATGGCAGGCTAGCACATTTACTGCAAAGTAAAAAAAAAAGCTGTCATAAGCAGGTGCTCAGCCACACCTGTGCTACTCAGAGGTTGAGGGTCAATGTTCTGCACACCATTCTTTTCCTGCCTTTTCCCATTCCTTGTTTTTATGTCTTGTTTTAATTTGTGTTAGCTCTTCCTGGCCCTAATTTTCCTTATTGTTTGCGCCTCTCTTCTGTGTGACCACACTGATCTTTTATGGATTTGTTTGTTTGTTTGTATTGTCTCTTGATGAAGGCGTTTGTCAAAATATCTGGTTGTATTTGTTTATGACTTTAAAAAAATATACTGACCACTTGATGCCAGGGAGACCTCGCCACATCTTTTTCTTATGCCTTCTGCCCCTCAGTAGACTCTCAATCAACTCACACCAGGTCGTTCTATCCTTCACTAGTGCATGCAATTCTCCCCATGTCCTCCCCATCTTTGTAACTTCACTATCTAGTTCCCTTCTCCATATTATGTTGTTTGGTCTTCCTTTATTTCTATGCCCCAGTGCAAAAAAAATTTTCTAGTTATTTTGTTCTCAGGTTTTCTCAATGTATGGTCCTATCCAAAGCCTACTTGTTCATAAAATAGATAACTGTCATTGCTCTTGTCTGTACATATAGGTTAATGTGTCTTTGCTCCTATCTCTGCACACACGTCAGATGTCATTGCTCTTGTCTATATGGATCATAGTGTGTATCACTGTTTCTGTTTGTACTCATATGAGAGCATATCATTACTGCTGCTTGTGCGCATAACAGAGCATGTCATTGCTCTTTTCTGTATGCATATGAGAGCGTAACATTGCCATTGTCTGTATCCATAAAAGAGCAAGTCATTGCTCTTGTCTGTATACATGTGAGAGCATATAATTGTTCCTGCCTGTATGTATATGAGAGTGTATCATTGCTCCTGCTTGTATGCATAAAAGAGCATGTCATTGCTTCTGTCTGTATACATAATAAAGCATCCTTCCCTTTTCCTGTGTTTGGCTTTCTAAGTAAAGTAAGTAAAGATCCCTTTCACGCCTTTAGGCGTATCGGGCATTGGCTTTCTAGATATTCGATAATTCATCAATTCTGGTTTGTCTTGTAATTTCCCTATGTTGAATGCTGTATTAATAATTGTATAAATTAATGTCTTTTTCTTTCTCTAAGTTGGGCCTAAGTCATTCATTCAATCAGTCATACATTTTTCCTTGCCTCTGTTGAACTCTGGTCATGAATTAATTCACAGCTTTTCTGTCTCCACTGTTGAGGACGGTAGCCATAGTTTATGTTGCATTGACTTGTACACTGATGCACACTGGTCTGATGACGTTACATGGGGAGACATCTGCTGGCTCCCAGTGTTGAACCAGGCAGAAGTGGCTGTTTGAGGTGACCTACCCTCACAGTTTGTGTGCCTTGTTTTTGCTAATAGAGCGAAGTTTTTGTGTGGGCTTTTCCTCTGTTTTGACAGTTTCTAAGCAGTTGAGTGTTGTAGGAATGGGTTCATTGTTCTAACTTTCTGACATCAATTAACTAGTGGATTGTTTAATGTTAGGCTGCCGAGTTTTAGTAGTTATAGAATATTTTGTGGTCATTTATAGGAGTTTATGTGTATGTGTATATATGCATGTGTATATGTACATGCATATATATATTTACGCTGCTGTGTTTGAATTTTTGAGGCCTTACTTAGCCAAATTTTATATCCAGGTCTTCCTTGGTTTATCTGTTTTTCTCTACAGAGCTGCAGAGTATCATTTTGGAGAGCTTGATAGATCTTTTACATGTTTGTGTTATTGTATTTTCCGTCTTTTCATTGTTTGTAAGATTCAGCACCACCCCTCCCCCCCCCCCTTTTTTCCTCCCAGCCTACCATGACAGAGATTTACTGCATGAGTTGTTCTTTATTGTAATAATATTGATATTATTGATATATGTATATATATCTATGTGTCCCAGTGTTATGGGACTATGTGGTATAGCAACCACAAATTTGCTTGAGGGGGGGGGGGGGGAGCAGTTATTGACATATCTCTTACAAATGTACAAGTCACATAAAATAATTCTGTGAAATCATATTCTTTTCCAGTTTTTGGCTTTGCAGCTAATAAACATGTTACACACTTCTTGGCCTACCAGGTTCGATTTCCACAATGGGTATTTTAGGAAAATAAAATACAAAAATACAAACGTTTTCTTGGCTTTCAGACATTTGTATGCAAGTTGCAGTGGAAGAAATGAGAGCCTCATATAGTAAGGCTCTCATTTAAAGCAGCCACTGTTCATACACCTCCCCCCCTTCCCTTTTTCCCCACCTCTTCCCCCAGCCATCTACATTGGGGAGACAAGAAAACATTCTTTTATGTGCATTTTCTAGCATGTCTTAATTGTGTGTGTTTCTTTTTCGTTCTCAGAATGAGGTACTTATAATTATATAGCTGGCCTCGTGCTTGTAGTTGAGGTCAGATGTCACAGGGTCAAGTTCATTTGAGAGTTCAGGATCTTTGGAATGTCAAGGCTCATCAGTCTTCGTTTCAAGAAGATACATTTGGTCCTTCTGTTTGGCTGTGTGTTTTTGGTGTGGAACTTCATCACCTTCTACACGCTGTCCAGCAAGCCCAGACCTATGGTGAGTCCACTCACACTGTTAGATTTACTTGTAGGTTTGGTTAGGTTTATCATTACATTCACATGTGGCTTTGTTTATATTTACCATTAGATTCACATTTGGCTTTAGTTAGCCTTACCGTTAGATTCATATGTAGAATTGGTTATGTTTACCATTAGATTCAAATGTGGCTTTAGTTATGTTTACCATTAGATTCACATTTGGCTTTGGTTAGGTTTAAAGTTAGATTCAAATGTGGCATTGGTTAAATTTACTATTAGATTCACATATTTCTTTGTTTATGTTTACCATTAGATTGACATTTGGTTTTGGTTAGATTTATTATTAGATTCACTTAAGCTTTGCTTAGGTTTATCATTACATTACCATTAGATTCACATTTAAAAAAAAAATGTTTACCATTAGATTCACAGTTGGCTTTGGTTGGCTTTACCAATAGATTCAACTGTGGCATCGGTTATGTTTACCATTAGATTCAAATGGGGCATTGGTTAGATTTACCATTAGATTCACATGTTTATTTATGTTTACCATTAGATTCATATCTTTCTTTGTTTATATTTACCAATAGATTGACATTTAGCTTTGAATTAGGTTTACTAAAAGATTCACATGTGGCTTTGGTTAGGTTTACCATTACATTCACATGGGGCTTTGATTAGGTTTAACATTAGATTCACCTGTGGCTTTGGTTAGGTTTTTTTTATTGTGAAATTTACATTTCACCTCAGTTTTGTTTGTTTTAAGCTTAGATTCGCATTTGGCTTTGCTTTGGTTTTCCATTATATTCACTTGTAACTTTTAATTTGACTTGGTCTACATTAGATTCACATGAAATTATAATTTGGCTTATTCACAACTAAATTCATATGTAACTTTGGTGTGGTCTTAGTTACTCGTGGATTGTAATGCAGTGTTTGTTTTGGTCTACAATAAAATTAACATGCAGCATTAGTGTTTATTTTGTTTTCGATTGGGTTCACACAGACAGCTTTATTTTAATCCCACTCCACACCCTAGTGGAGACACATGTAGCTTTGGTTTGGTTTACTGTAACATTTTGCTTTGATTTGGTTTACCATTAGGACACAGTTAAGATTCATACATAGTTTTGGTTTGGTTTACTGTTAGATTCAGTGTAATGTTTGGTTTGGTTGACCATTAGATTCACATATAACTTTGTTTGGTTTATACTGCTGTTAAGATTCAGTATAGATAGGTCTGGTTTGGTTTGCAATTAGATGCATATGTTGTTAGCTTTAGATTAACGATATTCCCATTTCTAGTTGGTCGGTTGACAGCTTGTCAAGTAATCAGTTAACCAGGTTTATCACGTAATCAATATCCTTTGATAACTGTATGCACATAACAGAACACAGATAAAGAGATACAATTGGTCAACCAGTTACAAGCATTGGAGAAAGCCATGAGCAAGCAAGCGGAGGATAACAGGAAAATCTTGAGTGGCCTCCAACACTTGAAGGATACCAATTCAAGTATGTGTGTGTATTTAAAGTGTGAATGTTAATGTATCTTGTTCCTAGTGCTCGTAGGGTTCAGTTCCAACAAAGACAGACTCATAAAAATTATCTAGGCTTCTCCTCCTCCTCCCTCCCCGCCTCTCCCCCATCATCGTCATTGTTACCGCCTTCTTCTCTTCCTGCTCCTTCTTCTTCTTCTTCTTCTTCTTCTTCTTCTTCTTCTTCTTCTTCTTCTTCTTCTTCTTCTTCTTCTTCTTCTTCTTCTTCTTCTTCTTCTTCTTCTTCTTCTTCTTTTTCTTCTTCTTCTTCTTCTTCTTCTTTCTTCTTCTTCTTCTTCTTCTTCTTCTTCTTCTTCTTCTTCTTCCTGCTTCTTCTTCTTTCTTCTTCTTCCTTCTTTCTCTTCTCCTTCTTCCTCCTCCTCCTCCTCCTCCTCCCATTGTTCCACATCGTCATTGTTACTGCTTTCTTCTTCTTCGCTTCCTGCTCCTTCTTCTCCTCCTCCTCCTCCTCTTTCTTCTTCTTCTTCTTCTTCTTCTTCTTCTTCTTCTTCTTCTTCTTCTTCTTCTTCTTCTTCTTCTTCTTCTTCTTCTTCTTCTTCTTCTTCTTTTTCTTCTGACTTTGAAGGAAACACCTCCGATAAGTCCTCTCCCATGACATGCTTGTTAGGGTCACAGTCCGTGTATTCTTTTGTTCTCCAGATTAGAGCCCCAGAGCCACACTGAGAGATCACTTTAAACAGTTGTTGTCACCTCCGCAGTGGAGGTCGGTCGCCTTAGATCTGTACCTTTACTGTTGTCTTCAGGAATATTATATGCTGAAATCCTTATCTCTCCCACAATCAATTCTCATCTTGCTTTTGAAAAGTAAAGATACCCTGGACAGTTTTTGTGTGGCCCAGCCTGTTTTGCTGCCTCTCTTCACATGAATATCAGAGTAACAAAACAAACAAAAAATTAAAAATGCCAGACACAGCAAGCTATAGAGGAGAGACACCAGAGAGAAAACAAACTTCCAAACGATAGAGTTAAGGTTAGTTGCGTATCCTTTACAGGACGTTGCAGAACCAACCCCGACAGCCCCTGGCTGTTGTGTGGTTTTTCTAGTTTTTGTCCAGTAGTTTGCCATTGCTCTCTGAACGGTCAGCTTTCTTAAAACCACTGCCGAAACTAACGCAAAGCGCATGGCTGCAGCTGGGATCGAACCCAGCATCCCGGCATTACGAAGCATTCGCATCGACTTAGCCACAGAGCCGACTAAGCAATAGAGTATTGCCATTTTTATGTGGACGGTGACAGAGCAACAGTTAAAAAAGAAAAAAAGAAATGAAAAAGATGCCAGACACAGCAAGCCAAAGAAAAGAGACACTGGAGAGAAAACCAGCCTCAGAATGGAAGAGTGTTGCCATTTTTATGTGGACTGTGTGACAGAGCAACAATTTAAAAAAAAAAAAATATGCCAGACAAGCAAGCTATAGAGAAGAGACATTGAAGAGAAAACCAGCCTCAGAAGGACAGAGGTTACCAGGGACTGTCGGTTGCCTGCTAGGAATTTAAAAAGAAAAAAAAAAGATGTGCATCTTTGGGCCTGCTGAACTGGGAAAGAAAAAACCAACAACTGAGAGATGCAGAGCCATATGGGATCCACCGTGGTGCAGTGATGATGATCTTGTCCAGTGTTCTCCTTTCAAACCTTTTAGAATCTTATCTTGTAAATGATGTTGCTGAAAGCCAGTGATGCAGTGGGTGATGTGAATTCTGTTGCAGCAAATTCGAACATGAACTTGACTAACAGCAACAAAGAAGGTGTCCTACCAATACTGATGATTGCCTGTGATAGGACATCAGTCAGCCGAGCCCTGGATAAACTGCTAGAGTAAGTCAGCTGCAAAGTGAATGATTGAATGAATGCATGCATGAGTGAATGCAGGAATGAATGAGTGAATGAAATATTGATTTGATTGCACCTGGTGCTCCATATTCTTCCCTAGCTAACAAAGAATTACTGCATGGATTGAGTCAGTGAAGGCCGGATTAACAGTAACCGCTGTTTGTTATTCTATGCTTTTGATGCGGTCCAGATCCTCTGTTCTCTTCACATGGATTCAGGTGTGGAGACTCTTTTCCTCTGTAATACTCAATCTGGTACCAGAGGATTATAAAGTAGCTTGCTACTAACAGGAATGGCAGTGGCCAGTCTATCAACTGGCTGACTATACTGCACACCAGCGTCTCCTAGGTGGAAAATTCACGATGATATGCAGCCACTCATCTAGAGGAGTGGCTGCAGCTACACTATCAGCCTGTTCATTGCCTCGTACACTTTAAATTTCTGATTAGAAAATCCATGATATTCTTCTCCTACCCTATCAGCCTGTTTATTGCCCCACACACTTGAAATTTCTGATTAGAAAATCCATGCTGTGCTTCTCTCCGGTGTCTTATCAACCAAGAAGAGGCACTGTAAGGTCCCAGTTTATAATCTCTGAAGCAAAACTTTGAAGGTATGTTACAGTTGAGAGCTGCAGATGAGAGATGTTCTGTACAACTGTCGATGCCTGACATCAGTAGCATAATATCAGTTATTTTATTGAAATGTAAAAACTGTCGGTTATTTAAATTTTAGACCTGTAGTGATAGACTTGATTTTATGTCATGTAGGAATAGAACAAACACTGAAGTACTGGAAAGAGCAGGTACTACAACAGTCTTTTCCATGCTCAGTCTGTAAAGGCTCAGGTGGCTGGGTCACACCTGGAGAAAGGAGGATGACATCCTTTATTGTGAATTAAAGACATTAATGATACGTGTATTGAGGTGAACTCATGGGAACTAAAGGCTATGGACCATGTTCTGTGGAAAGGGCATATCAGGAAGGAATAGAGTGAAGGAAGAAATGATTGTAGAAAGGATGAGAGCTGAGCGTCTGTAAAGAAACTGATTAAACACAAATGTTGAGAACAATGGACCTGAAATCCCATGCTATCATTGTGGAAGACTTTTCTTGACACGGGCGGGTCTTGCTAGTCACACTCGCCATCGCCATGGGCTGTGAGTCTCATGCCTCCTCTTAGCGCAATATAACACTATCGTCTGGAAAGATGGAAAGGTGCCAATCACAGGAATAGAACAGATTTTGTGACCGTATAATCGTATGTCTTCAGATACAGGCCATCTGCCAGCAAGTTCCCAATCATTGTCAGCCAGGACTGCGGGCATGCTGAAACTGCAGAAGTGATCCACAAATATGTAGTTTCCCATAACATAACACATTTAAAGGTTGGTATTTGTTGACGTCTGCTGCTACTGATGATTTCTTCACATTTCTTCCCTCTTCCTCCTACTTCTTCTGCCTCTTCTTCTGCCATTCTTTCTGTTGCACTGTCTCCTGTATTTTCTGCTAATTCTGTGTCTTATGCTTCTGTGGTTGTCCTGCTGTTGCTGCTACTGATGCTGCTGTATCTCTCTACCTGCTCTTTTCTTCTTTTTTTTCTTGTCCCTTTTCTTCCTCTTTCTTCTTCTCCTTCTCCTGCTTGTCATCTTTCTCCTTCTCCTCCTCATCTTTTCCTTCTGCTTATTATCTTTCTTCACCTCATTTATTTCTCTTCTTCTCCTCAGCGTCTTTTCTCCTTCTTCTCCTGCACCTTCTCCTTCTCTGTTGTTTTCTTCTCATTCTGGTCCATCTGCAGCTGTTCTTGCTCTTGTTGCTTATCCTAAAGCTGCTCCTTCTGCTCTTACTGCTCCTCATCTTTCTTCTTTTCTTTGTCATCCTTGTCCTCCTTCTTTTTCTGCTCCTCATCCTTCTTATCTTCCTCCTCATTTCACTTCAACTAATCCTCTTTTTCTTGAACTTCTGTTGCTTTCTCTGCTTCATTTTCTGTGCTATTCTTTTATTCTGTATGTGCTTTTCTGGAGCAGACGTGGGTCATCTGATCCTTTAATAGTTGATGTAAAAGGCTTTTTCCCAAATCTTTAGGTGTATTTATGTGTGGCTCTATGAATGTTTTTGTTTGCGGCTCTGTGATAATGAGCAAATTTCCTAATCATGAATGTACCAAGGTTCAGTTTCCACAGCCACAAACTTAGGGGATTACAAGAGTTATCATGGCTTTTAGGTACTTGTGTGGCAGTCACACCATGGAGGAATTAAAGGTTTGACCACTTACTGTTTCAGGAGACAACACTGGGTGCACGTATCCACTTAACAGTGGGTTTACATATCCACTTTGCACTTGGTGCACATATAAGTTTTAGTGGATGCACAGATTCACTTTGAGTGGGTGCACACATTTGCTTTTAGTTGGTGCACATATCAAGTTTTTAGTTGGTGCACATGTCCCCTTTTTAGTTGGTGCACATCAACTGTGAGTGGGTGCATGTATCAAATTTACAGTGGGTGCACATATCCACTTTGTAGTGGTTACAAATATCCACTTTGTAGTGATTACAAATATCCACTTTGTAGTGATTACAAATATCCACTTTGTAGTGATTACAAATATCCACTTTGTAGTGGTTACAAATATCCACTTTGTAGTGGTTACAAATATCCACTTTGTAGTGATTACAAATATCCACTTTGTAGTGGTTACAAATATCCACTTTGTAGTGATTACAAATATACACTTTGAGTGGGTGCACATATCTAATTTGCAGTTGGTACGCATATCCACTTTGAGTGGGTGTGCATTTCTGCTTTGTATGAGTGCACATATCCACTTTGCAGTAGGTGCACATATTATCTTTGCAGTGGATTATAAATATCCACTTTGAGTGTGCACATATCCACTTTGCAAAGTTGTATTGTTCTCAGGGATTCACATGTTCTGAAGGATGTACATGTTCTGAATATACTAAAGGTATGATCTAAAAATTGTCTGAGTGATCTAAATGTTCTGAGTGATCTAAATGTTCTGAGTGATCTAAATGTTCTGAGTGATCTAAATGTTCTGAGTGATCTAAATGTTCTGAGTGATCTAAATGTTCTGAGTGATCTAAATGTTCTGAGTGATCTAAATTTTCTGAGTGATCTTAATGTTCTGACTGATCTGAATGTTCTGACTGATCTGAATGTTCTGACTGATCTGAATAGTCTGACCGATCTATATGTTCTGAGTATTTTCAGCGTTTTAAATCTTCTAATTGATATAATTGTTAGGCATAATCTAAACGTTCTAAATACTCTATATGGATTATTTAAATCAGTGGTTCTCAACCTTCCTAATGCTGCAACCCCTTTGTTGTAGCGACCCCCATCCATACCATTATTTTCGTCGCTACTTCATTACTTCAGTGAATATTTATTTTGCGATGGCCTTTGGCGATCTCTGTGAAATGGTCATTCGACCCAAAAAGGGTCATTTGACCCAAAAAGGGTCGTCACCCATAGATTGAGAATCGCTGATCTAAAGGATTCCGAGTGATCCGAATGTTATGAATGCTCAGGAATGTTATTGTTTTTTGTCAGCAACCAGATTTGAGTAACATCAACCTAGCATGGCCTCAAAAGAAGTTCGTGGGCTACTACAAGATCTCCAGACATTACAAATGGGCCCTGGATCAGATTTTTGTCACCATGAAATACATGGCTGCCATCATTGTTGAAGGTATGCTCGCATTAACTCTTTTAGTACTCAACAATCTTTCATCTGTGGTTGAAGTAAAGTAAAACAAAGGACCCTTTTTAACGCCTGCAGACATATTGGGCGTATAGGGCTAGATCTGTTTTTAACTCTTTGAGTCCCAGGGGGTTTAGCATCACAGGCCCAGGGAGTAGTAAACAGAGTCATAAAATCCGGGCATCATGCATTCATTGGTCTTCTAGGTAGGAACCTATGGACGTTTGATGCGTTCCTTGGGACTCAAAGAGTTATTATACCAATCTCGGCACTTGGTGGGTAATGGGGTCACATGTTGATGCTGGCCACCTTTGTTTTCTTAGAACTTTTACCTAGTACCATTAACAGGCTGTGTTGACCAAGATCATTTGTTTTTTTACAAGTCCAGTGGATTTGAGCCCATGACCATCGGATCAGCAGGCGAGCATCTGGCCACTGCGCCATGGCGGCTCGATGTTACTGTCAAAATGCCACTGATTGTCTATTATCAGCATCTGTAAAACAGAGACGATAGCACTTTAGTGGACAAATACTGCACTATAGTGGACAAATACTGCACTATAGTGGACAAATTCTGCACTATAGTGGACAAATTCTGCACTATAGTGGACAAATTATGCACTATAGTGGACAAATTCTGCACTATAGTGGACAAATTCTGCACTATAGTGGACAAATTCTGCACTATAGTGGAAAAATACTGCACTATAGTTGACAAAAACTGCACTATAGTGGACAAATTCTGCACTATAGTGGACAAATTCTGCACTATAGTGGACAAATTCTGCACTATAGTGGAAAAATACTGCACTATAGTCGACAAAAACTGCACTATAGTGGACAAATTCTGCACTATAGTCGACAAAAACTGCACTATAGTGGACAAATTCTGCACTATAGTGGACACATGCTGCACTATTGTGGACAAATTCTGCACTATAGTGGACAAATACTGCACTGTAGTGGAGAAATACTGCACTATAGTAGAAAAATTCTGCACTATAGTGGACACATGCTGCACTATCGTGGACAAACTCTGCACTATAGTGGACAAATACTGCACTATAGTGGAGAAAAACTGCACTATAGTGGAGAAATACTGCACTATAGTGGACACATGCTGCACTATAGTGGACAAATACTGCACTATAGCAGACAAATACTGCACTATAGTGGACAAATGCTGCACTATAGTGGACAAATACTGTGCTATAGTGGACAAATACTGCACTATAGTGGACAAATTCTGCACTATAGTGGACACATTCTGCACTATAGTGGACAAATTATGTGCTATAGTGGACAAATTCTGCACTATAGTAAACAAATACTGCACTATAGTGGACACATTCTGCACTATAGTGGACACATTTTGAGAAGAGACAATCAGAGAATCACCAGACAGGCAAAGAAATGTGAAATTGATGGATTTAGGAAACCAGAATGTGTCAGAAAAACCCTAAAGTGAACGTTGATGAGAGAAGCCAAAGGTGCTTGATTGGATTCCATGAGTGACTGTTTCAGATAGAACGGAATATAGAAATAGACAGTGAGTGCTTTTTGACCTAAAATGGCACGATAGGGCAGTGAATGAATGTAAGAAATGCCACCCTGCATGTTCTTGTATGTTTTACATTTGGTCTGAGTGCACTGTGATTGTTGAAAGTTTGGTAAAATTAGTTGTTTCTTTGTCTTCATATAGTTGGCATTGTTGAAAGTTTGGTAAAGTTAGTTGTTTCTTTGTCTTCATATAGTTGGCATTGTTGAAAGTTTGGTAAAATTAGTTGTTTCTTTGTCTTCATATAGTTGGCATTGTTGAAAGTTTGGTAAAGTTAGTTGTTTCTTTGTCTTCATATAGTTGGCATTGTTGAAAGTTTGGTAAAATTAGTTGTTTCTTTGTCTTCATATAGTTGGCATTGTTGAAAGTTTGGTAGAATTAGTTGTTTCTTTGTCTTCATATAGTTGGCATTGTTGAAAGTTTGGTAGAATTATTTGTTTCTTTGTCTTCATATAATTGGCATTGTTGAAAGTTTGGTAGAATTAGTTGTTTCTTTGTCTTCATATAATTGGCTTTGTTGAAAGCTTGGTAGAATTAGTTGTTTCTTTGTCTTCATATAGTTGGCATTGTTGAAAGTTTGGTAGAATTAGTTGTTTCTTTGTCTTCATATAATTGGCTTTGTTGAAAGTTTGGTAGAATTAGTTGTTTCTTTGTCTTCATATAGTTGGCATTATTGAAAGTTTGGTAGAATTATTTGTTTCTTTGTCTTCATATAATTGGCATTGTTGAAAGTTTGGTAGAATTAGTTGTTTCTTTGTCTTCATATAGTTGGCTTTGTTGAAAGCTTGGTAGAATTAGTTGTTTCTTTGTCTTCATATAGTTGGCATTGTTGAAAGTTTGGTAAAATTAGTTGTTTCTTTGTCTTCATATAGTTGGCTGTTGAAAGTTTGGTAAAATTAGTTGTTTCTTTGTCTTCATATAGTTGGCATTGTTGAAAGTTTGATAACATTAGTTGTTTCTTTGTCTTCATATAGTTGGCATTGTTGAAAGTTTGGTAAAATTAGTTGTTTCTTTGTCTCCATATAGTTGGCATTGTTGAAAGTTTGGTAAAATTAGTTGTTTCTTTGTATTCATATAGTTGGCATTGTTGAAAGTTTGGTAAAATTAGTTGTTTCTTTGTCTTCATATAGTTGGCATTGTTGAAAGTTTGGTAAAATTAGTTGTTTCTTTGTCTTCATATAGTTGGCATTGTTGAAAGTTTGGTAAAATTAGTTGTTTCTTTGTCTTCATATAGTTGGCATTGTTGAAAGTTTGGTAAAATTAGTTGTTTCTTTGTCTTCATATAGTTGGCATTGTTGAAAGTTTGGTGAAATTAGTTTTTTCTTTGTCTTCAAATAGTTGGCATTGTTGAAAGTTTGGTAAAATTAGACCTGTGTTTGCATGTTTTCAGATATTTGGCTTTGTTAAAAGTGTGGTAAAATTAGACCTGTGTTTCTGTGTCTTCAGACGTTGGCATTGTTGAAAGTATAGTACAATTAAATCTTTCTTTTTTGCATGTCTTCAGATAGTTGGCATTGTTGAAAATGTAGTACAATTAGATATTTCTTTATTTGCATGTCTATAGATAGTTGTCATTGTTGAAAGTGTAGTGAAATTAGGCCTCTATTTCTATGTCTTCAGATAGTTGGCATTGTTGAAAGTATAGTAAAATTTTTCATTTGTTTCTATATCTTCAGATAGATGGCATGGCAATGTTAAAAGCATAGTAAAATTATACATTTTTTTCCATATCTTCAGATAGATGGCATTGTTGAAAGTATAGTAAAATTAGACATTTGTTTCTATATCTTCAGATAGATGGCATTGTTAAAAGTATAGTAAAATTATACATTTGTTTCCATATCTTCAGATAGCTGGCATTGTTGAAAGTATAGTAAAATTATACATTTTTTTCCATATCTTCAGATATATGGCATGGCAGTGTTGAAAGTATAGTAAAATTAGACATTTTTTTTTCATATCTTCAGATAGATGGCATTGTTGAAAGTATAGTAAAATTAGACATTTGTTTCCATATCTTCAGATAGATGGCATTGTTGAAAGTATAGTAAAATTATTCATTTGTTTCCATATCTTTAGATAGATGGCATAGCAATGTTGAAAGTATAGTAAAATTAGACATTTTTTTTCCATATCTTCAGATAGATGGCATTGTTGAAAGTATAGTAAAATTAGACATTTGTTTCCATATCTTCAGATAGCTGGCTTTGTTGAAAGTATAGCAATATTAGACATTTGTTTCCTTGTCTTCAAATAGTTGGCATTGTTGAAAGTATAGTAAAATTATACTTTTGTTTGTATGTCTTCAGATAGTTGGCTTTATTGAAAGTATAGTAAAATTATACTTTTATTTGTATGTCTTCAGATAGTTAGCATTGTTGAAAGTATAGTAAAATTATACTTTCATTTGTATGTCTTCAGTTAGTTAGCATTGTTGAAAGTATAGTAAAATTAAACTTTTATTTGTATGTCTTCAGATAGTTAGCATTGTTGAAAGTATAGTAAAATTAAACTTTTATTTGTATGTCTTCAGATAGTGAGCATTGTTGAAAGTATAGTAAAATTAAACTTTTATTTGTATGTCTTCAGATAGTGAGCATTGTTGAAAGTATAGTAAAATTAAACTTTTATTTGTATGTCTTCAGATAGTCAGCATTGTTGAAAGTTTAGTAAAATTAAACTTTTATTTGTATGTCTTCAGATAGTTAGCATTGTTGAAAGTATAGTAAAATTAAACTTTTATTTGTATGTCTTCAGATAGTCAGCATTGTTGAAAGTATAGTAAAATTAAACTTTTATTTGTATGTCTTCAGATAGTCAGCATTGTTGAAAGTATAGTAAAATTAAACTTTTATTTGTATGTCTTCAGATAGCCAGCATTGTTGAAAGTTTAGTAAAATTAAACTTTTATTTGTATGTCTTCAGATAGTTAGCATTGTTGAAAGTATAGTAAAATTAAACTTTTATTTGTATGTCTTCAGATAGTGAGCATTGTTGAAAGTATAGTAAAATTAAACTTTTATTTGTATGTCTTCAGATAGTCAGCATTGTTGAAAGTATAGTAAAATTAAACTTTTATTTGTGTGTCTTCAGATAGTTAGCATTGTTGAAAGTATAGTAAAATTAAACTTTTCTTTGTATGTCTTCAGATAGTCAGCATTGTTGAAAGTATAGTAAAATTAAACTTTTATTTGTATGTCTTCAGATAGTCAGCATTGTTGAAAGTATAGTAAAATTAAACTTTTATTTGTATGTCTTGAGATAGTCAGCATTGTTGAAAGTTTAGTAACATCAAAGCTTTTTTGTTTCTGTATCTTTGCATAACACTAGTCAAAAACCAGAATTTACCAGAATTTAAAATAGCTGATCTGAACCAATTTTGGTGTGCTAAAAACGAAAATGACATTAACAAATGTCGATTGACTCTGTTTTTCAAGATATATGCTACTAGTTTACTTCATTGTGATCAGTATTCTGGCCACTCCTACCTCTGTGGTCTTAAAATAGTTGGCAGGTTGTTTTATAGTTTACAGCTGGGTTGTGATATTGGTGCCTTTTGGCCCAGCACATCCAATGTCAGCAAAATGCAATTATGAATCCAGCTATTTAAATGGGAGAATGACAACAGAAAATGGAGTAACAGAAGTCTGAGAGAGTGTACCAGGGCAAATGACAGTCTACTGGAGGTGCATTTCAGTCAGCCTGCATTGTAGAGATGGCACTTGATTGATTAATTGATTAGTTATTGATATTTATCACATATCCACAGACGACTTAGACGTGTCGCCAGACTTTTTCGAGTATTTTTCTGCAACCTATCCTATACTACAGAGTGACCCTAACCTCTGGTGTGTGTCAGCATGGAATGACAACGGAAAAGAGGGCATGGTATCGGATGAAGCAGGTAAGTGACATTGTTCATCTGTTGTGAGATGACAGACCAGTGTTGTGTAAGTGACCATTACTCATCTGTTGTGAGATGTCGGACCAATGTTGTGTAATGTGGCAGCAGAGGAAATGGTGAAATTCTAAGACGATTGTGACGAAGGATGACTAAATTTATGTAAGATATCATTTAAGAGGATTTCCTTCATAGAAATTTCTACATCATTTTTTCTACATTGTCAACAGTGGTTACTGAGTGACTGGGTCACAGGGTGAGGTTGATGTGAACTGTTAGAAAATGAAACTACTGTTCGATGTGAACTAGAAGAAAATGAAACTATCTGTTGTATTTTATATTTCAGAACTTCTTTATCGCACCGACTTCTTCCCAGGATTAGGCTGGATGATAGAGAGGAAACTTTGGTTGGAGCTGCGAAACACTTGGCCAGAAGCGTAAGCTTATCTAGTATTTTACAGATCATTAACATTCTCTTGTGATACCCTCATTTAGGGCTCAGTCTCCTCTTTAATGCCGTTCTGTCCTAACAAAATATAATTATTGTCATGAGTGGAATCAATGATTGCATCACTTTCAGTCTCTCTAATCACCGTTTGTCTTAGGATTGTTTTTTGTGTGGATGTCCTCATTTCCTCAATTTATTTGCTATTCCAGTTCCTGTTGAGTGATTTTACAACAGCTTACCAAATATAATAGTTTTTTTATGATGACACATGGTTTGTGGGATTTGTCATGTTGCTTGGTGTCTGAAAAACAGCTCATTGAATTGCTGGGTGTCACAGTTTTCAACAGTTATCCCGGATAGAAAGAAACAATTTATTTTAAAAGAGGCTAAGACTTTAAGACAGCAGAAAGAGGCCGTTAACATACTTACGAGCAAGACTCGATTGCCTAAGAAAAGTATTAAACAGTTGGCACATGGGATTGCAGTACCATTTTGCCATTGGCACTGAGCTCTTGTGTTTACAGTTAGCTTCTACTGTATCCCCCCCCTCTTTTCAACCCCCTCCTGTTTTTCCCTCTATAACCAGTACGGTCAATGGCATCCAGTTTCTATTAATTCACCTCAGTACCTGTTATATTCCTGCCCTGCTTGCACACGTCTTGCCACTTAAGTATTTTTAGTTAGCATGACATATAAAAGCTATTTAGCAGTTTGACCTGATCTATTTCTTCTTTTGTCCTCTAACTGATACCAGGTTGTAGCCCAGTGTCTGGGTTTTCTGTATTTGTCATGTGCTTCTGTGGTGGCTTGAGTGATGGATTTGTTCTTTTTTGCAGGTTTCAGCTATACCATTCATCCTTTTCTTTCTTGTTCTTCCTCTCACCTTCTTCCTGCATGTTGTTTGACCTGATACTGAAAGTTAACAGAGTTTGCAAGTGTAAGGAAGACTGCTGGATGATATAAAAACACATGCTTGATAGTCAAGGGTCTGTATTTTAACAAGGAGCTTTCTGTTCACTCAATTTCTTTTGTTAATCTGCTAATTGTTGTTGGTACTTTACCCATCCTGATAGTTTTGTAATTGACTGAGGATCTTGGGCATGTTAATTATGGAGGGAAATTGTTGAGTAATTGTTTCTGTTTTGGCTTCTTCAAAGTTGTTTGTCTTTTGTTGTTGAAAATTGCTTTGGAATGAGGGTGACCATCTTCAGAAGAGTTCTTGGTCATTTCTTGTGACATGATTAAAACAGTCAGATGTCATAGTTGACTATTGTCTGTAGTGGATTGGTACTATGCCTACTATTGTTCTTCATTGGTGCCTTTATCTCTTCTTCTTTTTCCCCCCACCCCGTTTCTTATACATCTCATCTCACATGTAGTAATTTTGCATTTACATTTTTCTAGCACTGTCCACATCTGGCATTGATAGCACAAAGTTGGTACGAATAGCGCATTACTGCCAAATAAAAATCACTGCCTTTTTTGTGGTGAAGGGTCTTTGAGCCTAAGGCTTTAAGGCCGCATGGCTACTGCTGTCGCCACGACTGTGCAGTTGAGGATTTTATTTTGCCTCCGACAGAAAAAAACAAATCCCCAGCCTTACCGAGGATTCAAACCCAGGTCTCCAGCTTAAGAGCTTAGCTTTCTAACCGTTCGACCAGCCGCTCCTCAGCGCATTACTAAGCTGCCTTTTTTTTTTTTTTTTTTTAAATATACACTAGGAATCACTTTACTGACTCTGATTTTCTCCTTGCTGCACATTTGGTTAACATGATATCAAACCTTGAGATGACTGGGCAAGACTCCCCAGTTGTACTGTGTTTGTGTTTGGCGGTGCCTGTTTGTGTTTGTAACTTTACCAGCACAATTTGGTCTTTTCAGATTTTGGGACGATTGGATGCGACACCCTGCTCAGAGGAAGGGGAGAGAATGTATACGGCCAGAAATCTGTAGAACGAGCACATTCGGCAGGAAAGGTGTCAGCAAGTAGGTGTATTATTGTATTATTCAGTAATGGGAATCAGGATAATTATTTATAAACATATTCTTGGGAGCACCCATCATGTTGCGGCTAGACACTTGCTTGCAAAAGTCGTGGGTTCAAATCCAAAGAGTTCCGATCCAAACAGAGCCTGACTTTTTTTTTTTCAAAAATGACCTTGGCTTCTAGGTGAGACCAGGCTTGAGTGGGTACCAGGTTAATTCCTGGGAAGTAAAGGTGGCTGGCATGATGTTGAACACATCATACAATGAGTGCTAATTGGCCTATAAAATACAGGTCTAGCCCAGTATGTCTGAAGGCCTGGAAAAGGGTCCTTTTACACAAATTTTGTACAGTTCTGACAGTAAAATGTCATCATCATTTTTTGTGTGTGCTGTTTTATGTCACAAAAGGCTCACAGTCCATTCTTAAATTCTGTTGTATCCTGTACAAGTATTCCAGTATTATGAATGAAATCCAATCCAAAACCTTTGGTCTTTCTTGTCAACATTCTCATCAACATGCAAAGTTCGTAAAAGAGTGGCATATCACCTTTCAGTTCATTTTATTTTTATGTTTTATTTCAGGAGCCTATACTTGCACATACAATTGCTTGTTCATTTTTAAAAAAAATTTGATTTTATCACTTTGTTTCATTTCAGGGGCCTGTACTTTGACAAGCATTTGAAATATATAAAGTTGAACACTGTGTTCGTTCCATTCACCAAAATTGATCTATCTTATTTAGAGAAGGTAAGCAGATTGTTAATTAGAGAAGGTAAGCAGATTTTCATTTAGAGAAGGTAAGAAGATTTTTATTTTAGAAGGTTAGCAGATTGTTAGTTAGAGAAGGTAAGCAGATTGTTAGTTAGAGAAGGTAAGCAGATTGTTAGTTAGAGAAGGTAAGCAGATTTTTATTTTAGAAGGTAAGCAGATTGTTAGTTAGAGAAGGTAAGCAGATTGTTATTTAGAGAAGGTAAGCAGATTGTTATTTAGAGAAGGTAAGCAGATTGTTATTTAGAGAAGGTAAGCAGATTGTTATTTAGAGAAGGTAAGCAGATTGTTATTTAGAGAAGGTAAGCAGATTGTTATTTAGAGAAGGTAAGCAGATTGTTATTTAGAGAAGGTAAGCAGATTGTTATTTAGAGAAGGTAAGCAGATTGTTATTTAGAGAAGGTAAGCAGATTGTTAATTAGAGAAGGTAAGCAGATTTTCATTTAGAGAAGGTAAGAAGATTTTTATTTTAGAAGGTTAGCAGATTGTTAGTTAGAGAAGGTAAGCAGATTGTTAGTTAGAGAAGGTAAGCAGATTGTTAGTTAGAGAAGGTAAGCAGATTGTTAGTTAGAGAAGGTAAGCAGATTGTTAGTTAGAGAAGGTAAGCAGATTGTTAGTTAGAGAAGGTAAGCAGATTGTTAGTTAGAGAAGGTAAGCAGATTGTTATTTAGAGAAGGTGAGCAGATTGTTATTTAGAAAAGGTAAGCAGTAGACCCACTGCACCCCCTTTCCTTTTCCACCTTTTACAGGCATTTCATAGAGGGCAACTAAATGGGGTTATTTGATTTGAAGTCAGTGTGTGTCTGCCTGAGAGGCAAGGAACCAGCAGTCTGCATACAAATAAACTAGATCTGTAAAAGGACTGTGTACACAAAACTCAAGTTTTGGTACAAGAACAAAGTCCAGAAGTCGCTGAAAAACCAAAACTTTCAACCAGAGTTTAAGGTGGTAAATGTGGAGAAGAAGAAGAAAAGGACCCTTTTCCCCACCTTTAGGTGTATTGGGTATATAGGGCTAGACCTATATTTTATAGACCAATCAGCACTTGGTGGGTGTATGGTCACCACCAAACTGGCAGCCTTTACTTCCCAGGACTGCACCTGGTACCCACTCAAGGCTAGGTTGACCTGGGAGTCAAGATTATTTTTAATTTTAAAAAGTCCGGCTTCGTTAGGACTTTAACCCATGTCGTTCAGATCCATTAAAGGAGCGTTTAGCCACCTCACCACCGTGACTCCCAGAAGAAGAAGAAAGAGTAACAAAAATGAAAATCAAGTAAATACAGAGGTGGCTAAAAAAGAATGTGAACATCACAATCGCCCAGCAATGAAATGTATCTGCATGTACAATATTTGCGGTTGTTCAATATATTACGGTAGCAGTATGTGTCATGGAGTTTTTAAAATAACAACCTGTATGAACATTCTGATGCTAAATCAGAAGCGAAGAGAGGCGTACCAGTTACATGTGATGTATGCAGTTACTACAGGGGCTCCAAGTATTCCCATTAGCACCCAGACGCTTGTCATAACCATCATGTAACACATAGCTACCGTAATTTGATCTAAATATGGCCAATTATGTCATATAATGATGACATTTTAAACAAGTAGCCTCTATGAGGTCGGCTCTGTGGCTAAGTCGATGCGAACGCTTCATAATGCCGGGTTCGATCCCAGCTGTGGGCCACACTCCTTGCATTGGTTTCGACAGTGGTATCAAGAAAGCCGACCGTCCAGTAAGCAATGGCAAACTTCTTCTTCACTTCCTCTTTTACCGCTGTGGGTGTCGAGGGAGATATAAGGTTCTGTTTCTAGCTCTTCTGGCTGCCTCAACCATAGGCACATCGTGCTGTTGTAGAGTTTCTCTGATGTTATCCTTCCATGGCAAACTACCTGACGTAAATTTGCCCAGAAAAACCACACAACAGCCAGGGGCTGTTGGGGTTGGTTCTGCAACATCCTGTAAAGGATATGCAACTAACCTAACCTCTATGAAAATGTCTGCATTTCGCTCGTGGGAAATTTCTGTGTTTAAATTTTGGGGGCTATCTCTGAAGAAAGGACACATTTTTACCTCCACGACACATCAAGTATATGATGCTAGATATGGTAACACAGTTGACATTATTGCACTTTGCTCATACTTATGAGTGCTCACTCTTCCTCCCAAGGTGCATCTAATGATTCTTTCCATGAAAAGTCAGTGATAGTGCCTTCTATCTTGATCTTGATGATGGCATTAACATGCTTTACTAGGCTTAAGCCCCAGGTCACACAATCATGCTAACATCAGAGACTCGTCATTATGTAGGATTCATATTTTGATACACCAGGTGATTCTTAGTGGGTTATGTGGTCAACATCAGTTAGGCCAGCTTTATTTCCCCAGGACAATTCCTGGTACCCATTTTATATTTGGTCGGCCACAGAGTCTGGGCCAGTTAGGAAAAATCTGTTTAACAAAAAAAAAAAAGAATAAAAAAATTGTTTGTTGTTCATTTAAAGATATCTTCTTTGCACATCAGACATGACCATAAGTCAGGGCTATTCTACTGGTGGCCCGCAGGCCAAATTTGGCCCGCGGAGGCCTAGCAAGTGGCCCTCGAATCATTGACATTTGAATTGTATTAGTGATATTCCTATGCTGGAGCTCGGCTTTCTGGCCCCTGACTATTCTGTTTTTCAAAATTCTGGCCCCTGCTCAAACTTAGTTGAATAGCCCTGCCGTAAGTGCTCCAGTATCCTGCTGAATATATCTCTAAGTGTTTTTAGGCTAACAACTCCCATTCTGTTCTGATTATAGCAACAAGGATGTAGTGCAAGATGGCAGCCTGGCCACAGTTGTTTACGATAACAGATTGATTCTGCTGTTTTTTTTTTTTTTTTTTTTTTTACTATTTAAAAAATCAGGTATTTAAAAAAAAAACTGTCCCAAAAAATAAAATAAAAATTTCTAAAGGAACTTGTTCGTGCTTTGAAGCACATAAGACATATGTTGCTGGTCCCATAATTGGGTAGACCTGTGTCTCCCAAACTTGTCTTTAGAATTTTTCCACGGCGCCCTAACCCTAGTAAAAGTATGACTATTCGTATGTAAGAGACGACAAATATTAAAACTCATGTATTTACAAATACTGTGCGGCGCACAGTTTGGGAATCACTGGGGTAGACTAATTGTCTCATGACTGCATTGTGGCTTCTGTTTCTTCTTCCTCAGCATTGTGAGTTGTTGAGGTTCTTTGTTGCAGATATGATGACTTGTCATTATTTGTCTCTGTGATTATATTTATTCATAGAATTTTTGATTTGTCTAATTACATAATGGGAGCCATGGTGGCATAGTTGCTAAATGCGTACCTGCCAGCCTGAAGGTTTTTGTGTTAGGTTTTGCCCAATGGTTGACTTTTTTTTTTTAACCTTGGCTTTTAAGTCGACCCAGCCTACAGTGGGTATCAGCTAATATCTTGGAAGTAAAAGCTGCTAGTTTGATACTGATCTCAACCCTCACTGATTGCCGCTTAATATTGATGCTGCATTGTTATTGGAACCTTGACTAACGACTAATGACATACTATCTACAGAATAAGTATGATGCAACATTTACCAAGATGGTATACAGTGCTCCACTGCTCAGCCCAGAGGAAGTCCGGAACGGGGCCCAGCCAACCAGTTCGGTTGTCAGGGTGGAGTACACAACTAAAGACAGCTTTAAACGAATTGCCGCTCTACTGGGTATTATGGATGACTTCAAGGTGAGTTTCAGCCTAGATTATTGGTTACTTTAGATGGCTTAACAATGAGTTTCAACCTAATTTTTTGTTTTGTTAATTTAAAGTTTCAGCCTGGACCATTTGTTAGTTTAAATGACTCAATGATTTCAGCTTGAATAGCTTATGGCTCTGTCATCATATAAGATGTGTTTCGGTCTGAAACATGATGTATTAAATTAAAAGGCTTAGTGATGATTTTCTGGATACTTTCTCTGGGGTAACACTGTGTACTGGGAAATAAACAGGCGGACAGACTGGCTGGCTGCACACAGCTTGGTGGAATATCGATGCATGATGAAACATACATGGTTAGAGCCGTGTGGGAGAATGTGTACAGTTTGGAGGATCAATTGGATCACCACAGTCTATTGAGAGTGATGCAGCAGCAAGTGACGAGAGGATCTGGCCGCTCAGAGGAAAGGCGAAAAAGGCACATAATCAGTTGGGCAAAAACAGGTTCTTACTCGATTTTCCTTGATACTCTATCCTTATTTCTTCTTCTTTCTCTTCTTCTTTAAATTCTCTTTTACCGCTCCAGGTATCCAGGAAGATATAAGGTCCTGCTTCGTGCTCTTTTGGCTGCTTCAACCATAAACACATTATGGTGCTGTAGAGCGTCTTGTTATCTTCCCATCTGCTTCTGGGACTGCCTCTTGCTCCACCTCCCTCTCCTCTTTTGGTATATGCCTTGTATGGTATAGCATCAGAAGGTGTTCTCTCCACGTGGGCAAACCATTTAATTTGCTGTCTTTGAATGTAATTTAGAATTGGTTCTATACCGACTTTATCCCGTATGACTTCATTTCTGGTTTTATCTCTTCTGCTCACTCCTGCAGTCTTTCTCAGACACCTCATTTCCATGGTTACTAGTTTTCTTTTATGTTTTGTTGTGAATTACCATGTCTGGCACTGATAGCATAGGGTGGGAATGAATATGCTTTGCATGAGATGTTTTTTGTGTTCTTGGTATTGCCTTGTGCTGTAAGAGGGGAAAAAGCTTACCCAATACTTGGCCAGCTTTACTGTATCTGATGTTAATTTCTTCATCCAATTTACCATCTTCGGTGAATGTTGTTCCAAGATATTTAAACTCAGATGCCCATTTAATATATGTTTGCTCTAATGCCATGTTTTATGGACTGAATGGTTCAATGTGCGATGATGATAATCTGTTGACTAACAACTAACTAACTAACTAACTAACTAACTAACTAACTAACTAACTAACTAACTAACTAACTAACTAACTAACTAACTTACTTACTTACTTACTTACTTACTTACTTACTTACTAACTAATATTATATTTAAATTCTGCTTCTTTCTTCCTATTGACATTACTTCTGTCTTTTCAATGTTGATTCTTATATTATCTGATTTACATTCTTAATTCATGGATGTGAGATGTTGTTGCAAATTCACGGCTGTATCTGCAATCAAGGCCTGGTCTTCAGCAAAGTGTAATTGATTGATGTTACTAATATTTTTGCTCCTGAGCTTGGCTCAGTCTATATAAGCTTTTGCAAACTTAAGCGAGGTAGGTGTTCACTTACTCCATATTGAGCCATTACTTTTCATAATTTTTGTCTATCAGCCCTGTTGAAAGCTTTATCCTAGTCTACAAATAGGTTCTAATCATATTTGGTGTTCTTTTCTATTAACTTTTTAAGTGTGAAGATTGCATCTGTTCTTCTGTCAACTGTGGATCTATCACTGGTCGCAGCCTTGTTTCTATTATCTTAGCATACATTTTCCTAACATGACTTAAAAGAGAGATGCCTTGATATTGATTGCATACTTGTGAAACTATGGGGGTGACTGCAGTCAAGATAATACAATGAATTCCAAAGAAATTTGACTAAAAAGCTCAACAAAATGTGCACGTTTTTCTCTTTCCCATTTTGTTGAGCTTTTTAGTCAAATTTCTTTGGAATTTATTGATTGCATACTTGCTTGCTTCCCTTGTTCTTCCAGAATGGTACAATTATTGCACGTTGCCAGTCAGTGGAGAAGTTTGTTGAACCCATGCCTCATTAAATATTCTATGGAGCCATCTAATGTTGCTTTCACCTGCTGCTTGGATTATTTCTGTTGGTACTCCATCACCTCCTGGTGCTTTATATTTGGGTGACTGCTTCCTCTTCTTCACTGGCTGTAAACTTTGGCAGAATGTTCTAATTGTTCATTTTCTTCTGGACTCTAGTCTTGTCTCAGAACTTGAGTTTTGCGTGCACATCCATTTTGCAAATCTGGCTTATTTGTATATTTGTATGCAGACTTGGACCCGAAGGAAACATCCTAATTAGCTTTGACAACATGCTTGTTGGGGTGGGGTGGGGGGCAGTGAGTCTGCTCTCCCCCTTCCCCGACAAAATGGGGTCTCACAACCTACTAGAGGACTTGTGTGTGCCGAAATTTGTGTTCATTGTCCTAGTACCTGATTTACTTTTAAACATCCACTGTAATTCAGAGTAACAAATAACTTGAACTGACAGATGTTCAACCAGGCACATTTTTCTGTCCATACAGGCTGGTGTTCCACGGGCAGCTTACAGAGGAGTGGTCAGTTTTATGTTCAGAGGCCGAAGAGTGTTTTTGACACCACCGTCATCGTGGTCAGGATATGACACAAGCTGGACTTAACAGCCCTGTGCCATTTAGTATTTTGTAGTCATAGTGATTCATGTATGAGTGTGTGCATGAGTGCATGTATTTGTGTGCATGGGGGGGGGGGGGGGGGGGAGTGGTAGAGTCATATAGTCTTTGACAGGGCACAAGTGTGATGGATTCTGGGGCAAGTGGACCAGAGGTGGTCAATTTGGAAACACTGTCAAAAACTAAATGTATCTGTCCTTTTAGGACATATATGTGCAGTTGTATGTAATCAGTGGTCGGCAAACTCTTCAGTTGAGCGAGCCTAACATCAACAGCAGGATGATACAAACAATTTTTGAGAATTTCTTTTCAAGAACCTGTCCAGAACCATGCTTTTCAGAGTCAAAACTGTTTTGTGACTGACAGGCCGAGCCACACCCTGGTTGCTTAAGAGCTGCATGCGGCTCTTGATCCGCGATTTGCTGACCACTGTATGTAACGAACGAGTGAATATTTTAAGTGCCCATAATTATTTAAGTAACTTACATTGTATGTCTGATGATGTGACTTGTGTCAAAATGGAGGTAAATATTGAAATTAGCTATCCCATTCTGTTCCAGATAATTGGTAAATTAACTTTGTAAGGTTTCAACTCATGTCCTAAATACTTATTATATTAACCATATCTGCCCTAGTTATTTACTCGTTGAGTCCCAGGGGGGATTTAGCATCAGAGGCCCAATGGGTGGTGATGCAGTTTGTTTATTTCACAAGGGTAACACATTAAAACAGACCATACTAATTCAGCTGCCGCGCAACATACAAATATTATACATCAAAGTATTGTTGAATAATAATAGAATACTGCTATAAAGAATAATTGCGTTAGTAATTAAATATTAGTAAATAGGCAGTATGTTTACAGAAAACATTAAATAAAAATCTTTTCCACTTAACACCATGGCACTCAAGGAAAACTCGTTCAGCTATATCGAAAGTGAATCACAAATGAAAAAGAACTACTTAGTAATATATAAGTAAAATATAAACTCAATCTGTGCATTAATTTTGTTCCGGAGAATCTTTTGAAGCATCATAACAGAGCACCATTATTTGGTAAAGAGAACTGACTCCCCAAAACAATGAGTATCTTTACACACACACAAAGTTTGCTGTGTAAAACTCAATTTGCCTGTAATTTTGTAGCTGTGTTCCTAAATAATAAAGAGAATAGCATTGAACCGACCCTGAAGAAAATCATCTTTTCACTAAAGTTTTTTCTATTTGTGCCAGCTGACTTTGCTATCATTGTACCCTTTATGGAAGGTACACATAGACACATCCATCATCAAAGTTTGACTTCATAAATGACTGAAACAAGTCTACTTCACAGTGTTATCTATCTTACTTCGGATGATTTGAATAAGCTAGTGCATTTTTTTTAAATTTGAGGCTTTTAAAGCCGTAAATCATGTTGGCATATATGATACTACTCGGTGGCCATATTGTTTTCAAACACTTAGTAACTTGGTAAACCTTGCAAATATACTATATTTTTGGCTTTTAAACCATGTTTCCAAATGAGCACGCCTGATATCAGACACAAAGAACTCTAAAAGAAGTTGAAATTAGGCGGTCCATGTTTTATTACCAGTCTGTGGTAAAATAAAAAACTTCACTTATCAGGTGTCGATTATGCCGCTGGGTTGTAACACATTAGCAGGTGATGCATTCCCTGAGACTCAAAGAGTTAACTCTGTTATGGATTAGACACTTAATAAATCTTCTCTGTCATGGTTATATAACTATTTTCTGTCCTGGACACTTATTATTTCTTCTCTGTCATAGCTTTTCTGTCCTGGGCACTTATTATATCTTCTCTGTCATAGCTTTTCTGTGTTGGTCACTTATTATATCTTCTCTGTCATAGCTTTTCTGTGTTGGACACTTATTATTTCTTCTCTGTCAGCTTTTCTGTGTTGGACACTTATTATATCTTCTCTGTCATAGCTTTTCTGTCCTGGACACTTATTATTTCTTCTCTGTCATAGCTTTTCTGTCGTTGGACACTTATTATATTCTTCTCTGTCATAGCTTTTCTGTGTTGGACACTTATTATATCTTCTCTGTCATAGCTTTTCTGTCCTGGGCACACTTATTATTTCTTCTCTGTCAGCTTTTCTGTGTTGGACACTTATTATATCTTCTCTGTCATAGCTTTTCTGTCCTGGACACTTATTATATCTTCTCTGTCATAGCTTTTCTGTCCTGGACACTTATTATTTCTTCTCTGTCATAGCTTTTCTGTGTTGGACACAGTATGTATGTTCTATTAAATAGCAATTATCTGGAATAGAATGGAGTTAAAAGATGAATGAGATTCATGCTGTGGAGTAACTCGTGAGGATATCGCGAGTTGCTTGGTTAAAATAGAGAGGGGAGTTATTCCATTATAATAACTTTTTTCTGCTCGAGAGTCTCTGTGGTGAAGCTGTTTGCTGCGAGCTGTGAATGTCCTGGGTTTGTTTCACCACTGCTCAGTCCAGAGACATTTTTTTGGGGAGACCCGGGGAGATTGTCACCAGAGTTACAGTGTTCGTGTTTTGTGAGATGCTCTCGGCTGGTGGCTAACTCTTCTACAGGTGACTGGCTGTTCTGCAGAGCGATGACCTGGGGTATTGAAACTTTAAGCTTTATTTATGTTCGAGAATTCTGTCTGTTGGACTTTTAACTGTTATATTTCATATTAAGTTGATGGCTTTTATGGTTGGAATCTGCACTGCTGGTTTTAACTTGTGAATGCTAGTTTTAACTTGTGAATGCTAGTTTAAACATGTAACTGCTGGTTTTACCTTGTGAAACTTGACTGGAGGAACTATTGGATTTTTGTGTTTTCTGTCTGGAAGCTGTGTTTGTATGTGTTTTTACTGATGTTTCATTTGTTTATAATGTGTTTGTTACTGTTTTTGTGCATTTGTTGTTGTCTTTGTTACTGTCTTTGTTACTATCTTTGTTACTATTTTTGTTACTATCTTTGTTATTGTCTTTGTGTGTTTGTTGCTGTCTTTGATACTATCGTTGTTGCTGTCTTTCTGTGTTTATTAGTCTCTGTTAGTGTCTGTAATGTGTTTATTACTGTCGTTAATGTGTTTTTACTGTCTTTATGTGTTTGTTATTGCCTTTATGTTTTGGTTATCAGTTTGTGTTTGCCACATATTTTTCCATGCAAAATTATGGACTGTCACAGTCTCATTTGTTACTGCTGTCTTTATTTGTAAAATTCTTGACCTGAAAAACCGAGAAGAAAATTTGACATGAGATACATTTCTAGTCTGTCCTGTAATTTATAAATTATTGTGAATACATACACCTTATTAAGCAACTCAGTATCATGAATGACAGACCAATCTGAATTAAAATTACAGCCGCTGTGATTGTTCAAGTCTGTCTGGTATTTATGGCTACAGAGGGTTGTAGTTTACAAGGCTTTGCAGTTGAATACCACATGCAACACTCATAAGTGAGATAGGAGCACTGAGTTTTTTTGTGTGTCCATTATGGGATAAGGAAAGTTGGAAAATACTTAATGGAAAATGGTAAATTTTATCCCATTGTAGGTAAATTGTATTGGAATGTACAGACTTTTACATGTTTCTTGGCCGTGACATAATGAGTTAGGGTGTGTGATTCCTTTCTCTTTCTTACTACCCTGCCATTCTCCCCCCTCTTTTTACTTTCTCTGTTCTCTCATATGGCAATAACTGCTATGGAAGTCCAACAATTAAACACTTCACTTCACACTTCAGTGCCAGTAATTACTAAGAAGCTGCCTTTACTTTAACCACTACTTGTAAGGAATCCCCCTCTGTACATTCAGAAACCAGTCAGGTGTTAAAGGCTGGAACTTAAGCCTGACATCTGTGAAAAGGCATACAACCAAGCCACGATTCAACGCAGTAGGCTAAAAACAGATTCCATTCTAATATCTCTATTGTCAATTTGTCTGTCAGTGTGGAGGAAGCTTTGGTATCCCTGCCACAGAGCAGCACCTTGAAGAAAAATGTATTTATGCTTATTTGTCAATGTGGACCAGTTTCTGTTTTAAGTGTCCTAGCCTACCTACACTTTCTGCCTTCCATTTTCTAGTTTACCTCTACTTTCTGATCACATTTTCACATTGGATCCTTACTTCTTCTTCTTCTTCGCGGTCACCAGCTGTAAATTCTGGCGGAAAGTTCTGGTTGTTCATCCACTTCTGGACTGCAGTCCTGTTCCAAAACCTGAATGTTGCGCGTGCATCTGTTTTATAGATTTGACTCATTTGTGTGCAGACTGCTGGTTCCTTGCCTCTCAGGCAGATGCACTCTGACTTTAAAGGAAGCTCCCAATTAGTCGACTCTTACGACATGCTTTTGGGTAGGCAGTGGGTCTATTCTTGTTTTCCCTATAATAGGGCCCCAAAACCCACACGGGGAACTGGATCCTTACATCCTCCCACACCAATTTAATGAAGTTTCTGAACGGAAAAAAAAATGGTCAAAACACTTGCTCTACACTCTAAAGATTGTAGGCTTAGTCTCAGACTTCTTTGCTCAATTCAAAAGTGTGTTTCAAAGATACATAGGGGTAGTTGTTGGAGCTATAGAGTTTTTGCTGTGTGCAGTTTTCCTAATTGGTAATGGGCCACCCTCCCTGAGAGATAAACCACCAGTGAAGTGAAGTCGATCCTCTAATGTTTGTCTAGGTAAACTGGAAAATAGGTGAACTAAACAGTTTAAGCCACACATTACAAGTGGACTTGAAATTTGAGGCTAAAAGTGGGGGTTGAACTAGAAAATTTGAGACAGACAGTGAAAGTTAGCCAGAAAATTTGAAGCAGGCAGTGGAAATGAACTAGAAAATTGATGAACAAAAATGGAGGTGAAATCTAAAATTTGAGGCAGATAGGGAGGTGACTAGACATTTTGAGCTTACACTGTAAGTAAACTAGAAATGTTTTAGTTTCAGAGAGTATCAAGTTTAGACCTTTGATACTGTTTAAAATTCCA